ATATTAAATCTAATGATTAGTCTTCAAAGATATTTTTTAAAAAATAATTATACTTATTGATTTAATTTGATAATTAACATATATAATTTATATAAATAAAATTTTTAATTCAGTAACTAATGTTTAAAAATATTAATTAAAAATAAAATTTTAGATAAATTAAAAAAAATTTTTTTTATCAATTTTCACACCTCGGGAAAAAACTCAATATGAGATTTGAATCATTGGACCCTTGACACTGATATTAGAATAGATAGCTCCGTCGCGAACAGAACGGCAAACCGACACTAAAAGCACCAGAAAGAAAGACCACCAAGGGAGGGAAAGAATTTCCAATGGCGACATGGTACGGACCTCTTATTGATCTGTCCGAAGCTGCTTCTCACATTGACCACTTCGTCCAGCTTCTCGTATTCGTCCACCGTTGTACTCCGGTTCAGGTGAGAAAATCTCTTCTCTTGAATACCACTTTCCACCTCTGCGTGCCTACTAATACTAATTGGAATTCCAGTACAAGTTATCCAAAGGGGGAGAGGTGATTAGGACGGACATCCAGGTCGGTGATGACACTCGACCCTTCTTTTCTGTAACCCTTTGGAAGAAGGAAATCCAATCCATGGTGGTTTCCGGTGAGGTTGTATTATTGCAAAGTGAGCCTCACTTCCTCCCCTCTTATTAATTATATATTTTGGGTTTGGTTTAGTATGTTTGATATAATGCATTTGCATTCTATTCTCTTATTAAGAAGCTTAATCAAGTTCTAGCCTTTCTATGCACTTAGTCCTCTAACCCTTTATCATCTTTCTTTTCTTACTTTAGATGTGAAAATTACAAGATTTAGAGATTTGATTGAGGCCAAAACTGTCGAGTGGTCATCACTACTACGGCTTATCCACCCATATGAGTGCCTTATCTCGAAAGGTACATCCTTTTACCTAACTTGCTAATGTTTGGATATTCAATATGGACAACTTCATTGTTTGTCATATTTTCTTCTTTGAATTTGTAATCTATTATTAACATTGTACTTTGCTAGTTCCATCCACCTGAGTCCCCGTGTGTTTTACATGTATCGAATGGTTGGTTTGTTTGAAAGGAATTAACCAGAGTCTACACTGACTGTTTTAGCAATAGAATCATACTGAAGAAAATGGGACTTTGTCTTCTCATATATAGGGGTAGCTGACTTGATAACAAACTGTCGCGTGGGCATGGTGGCTAAAGAGAAGCTTCGGAAAGTTATAGAATGGGTTCAGAGATCCAGGTCTATCTTCCAAATTGTTGAAGCACCTGGAAATCAAGTATTCATTCCTGTGTACCACCACATGTCTTGGGCTTATTACTTTGAGAATTTCTTTATCCATCAGCTTATTCTTTTGGAGATTTGAGCATAGGGAATTCTTTACATATTATGTGTTCTTACCACATCTTTTGCATTTGTTAAGTCAAGAAGTAGTGTTACATAATCATGCATTTTATGTTAGACGGTTAGACTATCATAAAATTTTCTTCTATTTAGATTGGGGTCTGGATGTCTGCCATTATTCAGGATATAAGTTCAGTGCTAACAGTAACATGCATCTTATGGTTATATGAATCTTACCATCATATGTTTATCATTAACTTGCATTAAAAATGGCTGAGTAAGAAGTTATGTGATTATGCAATTCATTTTTTCTTATTTACTGGATTTCCTACAAGCACACTTGCATGTGACATTGTGACATGTGATTTAAATTAGATATCCATTCATGTCCTTTCTGCATGTTATACTTCGTCAGTCAAATGTTTCAATTAATACTCCTCCAAAGCAGAAGATGCAACTACCAAGGAACTGGAAAGTGCCAGAACAGGAAAAACTGAGGCAGCATTTGTCCCTATCAGAAGTATTATCCTTATCCCAGTCATGTAAAGCAATAACAAATGCTTGTATTGGCGAAATGTTTCTGCCAATTACCTGGAGATCAATTGGTGAATCTGAGAATGAAACTATGTTCATCAGTAGGAGACTTTATTCTGTGGGAGAAAATAACGTAGCAGAAGATCTCATTTGTACTGGCTGCAAGCTTTGTGGTTCCCCATTAGATTCAGTGAATGGGTGTGTCAACTTATACTTCTCACTCTATGCATAGTTTCTGTATATAAAAATCATATGGTTACTGATTGACTTGCTCCCTGCAGCAGGTTGAAATCTAAGCAGAGTTCTATTTCATTCTTTTGTGAGAAAAGCGCAGATCACAGTCATGTAGTAAGCTTCATATACAGGCCCTTTAAGGTAAGGTTCTTTTCATGCCCATTCTTTTTGGAGGGAGGGCTGGTGGTAAGTCCAACCCCTTTTCTGATTGAAATGATGAAAGCATCTCATTGTTTCATTTTCCTTAAATGAATATGTTGCTGATCATGACACCATCTTTGAGAATTGTTTTCTTTAGAATTCTTACTATCATTTTTTCCACATTCCTTTTTTTAAGTGCAGTTATATGTATGGGATGAATCCGAGCACTTGCCACTGCTGGTAAAAAATAGTGCTGCCGAACAACTGTTTGGCAACATCAATGCTGAAAGAGTATACTCAAGCTATAGAGAGCAAAGTTATAATCGAAATTCTGATATAAAACGTGTTAAAAAGGAAGGGAATGAGAATACAAGTGCCATTAGTTATCCCAAAGTTGTTTTGAAAGATTTTGTGGATAATTGTTGGTTGGAGGATGCGTGCAAGAGTCATGAAAGCAGAAGCCTGCAACATAATAAAAACATAAACTTTTTTCTAATTTGGTTTATTCTCTTGAAAATGTTGTTGCTGCAAGGAAAGAATAGCCCTCTGAAATTTGAAATTGCTGTAAATGCTAGCATTGATGCTGAAAATGGGAGGTTTGAAATGGTCTCAGTGTCAATCCCATGCTTCAATAACATCTGATCTTGTATTTTTCTGGCGAAAACTGATATACCATTTACACAATTTCATGAATGAATGTTTCAACTTTCAATTTTCCAGGATCAATGAATACAGTTTAACATCTTCTGTGGGATGTCCTTCAATGCTTTTTTTATTATTATTATTATTGGATTGGCAGTTTGTTCTTCCGCGTTGAAGTTTTCAAGTTTTATTTTTGAGATAAGTGGGAAGGGGTTTCAGAAATAGAAGAGTATATATAAAAATTTGGAAGTCATTAAACTAGCATTGTTGGAAAATCAATGTTTCTTATTCATGCTTATACTTTTGGCACCAGCAGCAACTTAGCCATGGCAAACTGAAATATATAATCAAGACAAAGTTTTCTATAAAGAAAAAGGCTTTCCAATAGATTATATCGGACAATAATTTCTTTTACAGTCAAACAAGCTGAGAAACAGAGCGAAGAACATTCTTAGATAATTCACAAGGCCAAGAAACAGCTTAGGTATGTCAGTCTGTCTCCGCAGTAGAAGAATCAGCTACAGAATTTTGGGCTTCCAATAGCTTCATTTGGCGTTCGGCATGCTCCCTCTCACAGGCACTTATTCCCATAATGATATCAAGCATTGTACCAGTGGTTCCAAAGAACACTAGAGGTGCTAAAGATTTCCGCTTTATCCCCACTGGAATTGCTAGCAAAGCTCCTGCTACTGAAAATACCCACGTCCCCAATGCGCTGCAGATAACGAAAGTATAGATTTTATTTGGAATGAAAGAAAAAAAAAAATCACCCTAGACGTCTCTCTATCATTCAAGAAAAAACTTAAATGATGAACTTAATTAGAATGGTGAGCTCCATATGCAATGCAGTTGGCCTAAACGTCGTTAAATCATTTAAACTGATAACAAGTTAGGAGCTGAAATCAGAATAAAATTGGTTCTTGATTACTTCAGTTTGAGAAGGTTACAATACACAGCAATAATTCAAACATTCATTTTTCTTCCTTGTTTCCAAATAGAAACAGACTGCTCCACCTTTTCAACTTCTTTGGAGCACAACTCAACTCAACTCAAGCTGAAATTAAACTCATGATTATAGTAATTCAAAACTAGTCCAGACTAAGGAGTTAACTACAGAAATCCTTATTCTCTTTTTCTGTACATCTAATCAGGTATCATATATTGCACTAAGATCTAAAAGACATAATTTTCCATACATCTAATCAGGCATCATACATTCCACTAATATCTAAAAGACAGAATTTCTTTCTTACTTACCCACCTCATCTTACAAATGATCCTGATCTTCGACGTACCTCTTTCATTGTACCAACTCAATTAAACCAAGGATCATATTCCCCACTAAGATATGATAGAGCTAATTTCTTTCTGCCTTGCTACTTCTAACCAAGGAACCCATCTTAGGTGTACCTCTTCTCCTCTTCATCCCTTTTATCTGAATTAAATCCCTCTTACACAAAACAGGCATCCCCACATTTCCATTGTGCTGCCAATAACAAAGGGAAAAAAAAAAATTCCGTTCTGACTGACTTAATGGTCTAAGCTGTCCTCCTTTGTTATCAACGGAAGTTATTAGGTTGACCATCATCACAACAAAATGCACACTTAAAAACACTGTAGACGATATCCAAGGCTTCAAAGCAATTAAACTAGCTAATTGTGTTTCTCTAAACCCCGAAGCAATTCACACATTTCTGGGTAAATCCAAATCTTTAAGATGAATTCATACCCATAGCATACTACCACTGCCAGCAAGACAGTAAAAACCAAGCAAGATACTTACTTGGAAACTGAGCACTCCTCAAGCTGCTTAACATTCTCTTGACCTCCCATTTCGTCCTCTCTTAGCCGTTTGATTCTCTGCTAAAAGAAAAACAATCCAGTCAAGATTAACAAGCATTTTCGTATAAAACCATGAAAGCATCTACTCTGTGCATATCAAATATTCATCTTCCCCATAAACAAATTCATTAAAATCAGAGAAACCCCTAGCAATTATCAAAGACAAGTGAAGAAACAACAAAATCTTCTCTACCTGATCAGAGATAGGAGTCGGAACCAAAATATTGTGGGTTTGAGGAGAGAGAAAGGAAGGAGAAAGGAAGAAGAAAATATACAATTTGCTGAATTTCTCTTCTTCTTTTTTTTTTGTTTTTTGGACTTTTTAGCATTCCTATTATTATGGGCCCATAGTGGACCTCAAGTCAGTTCCTCTAAGCTGAGGCCCAAATCTTAAATTAGATTTCATGTTCGGCCCAAACATTTTTTGATCGGCATTTAGGCCCAAATCATAAACCGTACAAATTCCAGAGAGATGAGATCATTTAGAGGGGTTGATGATCAGCGATCGGCGATTTGCTCAGCGACGTCGGAGAGGACTCTGGTGCTCCGTCATTGTCGTCGTCATCAGTCCTCGACCCTCAATCCTTGGATCTCACCACACCCTTCCAGGCTCATCTCTCACTACATTGCTCCCCCTGTTAATTTCCCAGACCCCAAACTGATCGATTCTTCTAATTCCTCCTCTGCAGGAAGGAAGATTATGATATATTGGACGACCCATTTACTGGTTCCGACCTCTCACGGCCAGGCTTAACCCCAAATGAAATCCAAAATTGATATGGCATTTCATTTTTGGTAATGTTTTCAATTCATTCATAATAAAAAAGAGACAATGATTTCCCATACAAATCAAAATTTCACTTTCTGGTTAGAATGTTTGGGCATGCTTTCTGAGTCTTTTCTTTTTCATTTTATGGGTTTAGTGCTTTCTAAACTGCAAACAAGTGCTGGAGAAGGCTGCAGAACATAGAAAAATTTGTCAAGAAGACAGACACATTCAACAATAGTAGCAGGCAAAGCCATTGCTATCTCTCCAAACCCAAGAAAGGGATGATTTAATCTTCACTAGGAGACTATCCTTAATTACATTGTTATTTACTGAATTTACAGAATCAGAATTTTGGGAGTAAAAATTGAAACATTATCTAACCTGTAATCTATGCACCAAGCCTTCATTCATTTCTTCAATGTTTTCTGAGCAATGAGAGATCAACAGGAAGAGGGGACGATTGAGAAGAGAATGTAGAAGCTTCTATTGACAAGGAACAATAACTTTGCCATTGTTTCTTTGGGAAAGCTATGTTCCTTGGTTGGGAACAGGCATGGGAACTGCCACCTTTCAACTTGTGTAGCGCACAGCCACAGTTGCGGTGGTATGGCCTCCACTGGATGTCTTTGTCATTCGCAGCTATGCATCCATCAAACATCCTGTAAACTGCTCCAGTTGCCATTCCCTCTTCCTCTTCTAAATCCCCTGATACTCTCTCTCTGTATATTGAGTGTTAGTTGTCTCTTATGTGTTTCAACATCCGCATGCATTTTTGTGTTTATATAGAGTAAGGTATGACAACTTTTAGGAGTAATCTAGAGAGGAGAACAACTTAGTCTGTGTTAGTGGTGCATGTAGAATTCAAGAGAACTTTGTTCGACGGAGTTCTTGTTAATGGCAGCTATCTAAATAAGACAAACGAGTTTCTCAGGGAGTTCTATGAGGAGCCTAATTTAAAGATGGAATATCAAGGGCAAAAGAGAAAGGAGTGGCCTGGCTTGGTTAGTTTTGCAAAGATTTGTCTTTGTTATTTCGTTAATGAATTGGGTTTTTTCCTTTGTTTTTGTCACAAAGCCTCCTTTTTTTATTGAAGTCGTTAGAAACTGTGCTGCAAGGGATCTTTGTTCAATTGTCTTTGTGGTTATCGTTCGGCAAGAAGGCAAGGCAACGAGTTCTATGCAGCAAAGACAGGGTCTAGGTTTTTGGGTCTGATGCGTCAAAATTGAAGCCGAATTCTCAACTAATTTTGGTTGTGTTTTCTTGACACTTTCTTGTTAAACTTCAAAATTTATCCTTTAAACTTCCAATAATATTATAGTTAGAATACTATATAAGATTGTAAACTTACAATCCTATATGACATTAAATATATACAATATCATGAATAAATTCCTAAATACAAAAAACTAATTATATAACTACACAACATGTTATAAGCATATAATACCACAAGCATATAATACCACGTAACATTGTAATTATAACATTTTCATTTTAACTTTGATAAAAAGGGACCACCCAAAAGAAGAACAGGATGAATTTAACAATTTTCAAAAGCCTGCTGTAGCTAACCCTTGGGGGCAATCACTTACTGAAATCAAAACTTCGATTTATTGCTAATATTTCTACAGAAGTGAAATTGACTAATCCCTC